CTGTGTACCCTTTATTTGCCATGGTCTGGTACCATGATGGTTCACGATGATGGCTTGTTGTCAAGGTCCCCGTGTTCTTTAAAGGTATATTTTGGTTCCATAAAGGGCCTGAAGGTAGCTTAGGAAGTCAGCCTCTGCTTGAAAGGCTCTATTGGTCTAGCCATAACTTCCAACTCAAGAGAGCCCTTAATAACCCAAAATGCTCTGGTAGGTGCAACATTGAGATGCAGGAAGGCATAAAAGTCTATATTTCCATAGTCAAACAGTCTGGGTTGTAATCCTACCTCCACCGTCTTCTCAATGTGGAACCTTGAATAATTTACCTAATCTTGTGGTTTCCTTATCTGAAAAGTGGGAATGATAATAATAGTTCCTACCTCAGGGTTGTTGTGAGGAAGATTTAATGAGTTAAAATATATAAGCAACATAGAACAGTGTCTGGCTCATAGTAAACCCTATTAAAATTTCCGCTGTAATTTTCAATATTATTGTTACCATTTGTATTGTTGGTGGAGACAGTTTAATAGCCTGCTTCCAAGACAGCTCAAGTAGTCCTGAATCAGGGATTGTTGCTCCCACCCAACTCTTCAGACCTGTCAGAGCCAGGAGAGGTTGTCTGGCTTTGTTCTGCTTCTAATCCATGTCCTGAAGGAAACTCTGAGCCTACTGGGGCTGAGCATAAATCCTCAGAAGAGAGCATGTGGGTGCTGAGTGATTGATAGCCTTCTACCACTTGGACCTGTGAGTTTGGTATCTTTTTTCAGTACTCAGATTACTTGTACATTAGGTTATATAACAGGGTGTGGCCAACATGACCTGACCCAACACGGCACCTTTCTGGTCCAATTACTTCCTCTCTCTGAGCTTTGGATTTTTTCATTAATAAAATGAGAGTTTTATTTTAGCAAATCTTTATAGTCCCTTGTAGCTCTACTATTGTGTGAGTATAAAAAGAAATTCTTGAGGTTCAAATTGTGGACTCTTCTTTGGGGAAAAAAGTAAGTATATTGGGACAGTTCATAACACAAATATTTTACACATTCCACACAGGTAAAAAGTATTTGATTCAATCTGAAGATTATATTTTACTAGTAATATATAGCCCATCTCTTTTTTCCTAAGAAAACTTGTCCTACTGACTTGGTATTGTCTGTCTTTCTCATTTTTACCATTCTGATGAGTATGTAGTGTTACTATACTGTGGTTTTAATTTCCATTTCTCTGATGACTAATAATGTTGAACACCTTCTCATTTTTGGCCATTTGGTGTATGTTCAAGTCTTTTGTCCATTTTTCTATTGAATTCTTGCTTATTGACAATTTTTCTTATTGACTTGTAGAAGTTTTAATTAATTCAATAATATTTTTAACATAATCTGGATACCAATCTTTGGTGAAGATTTGAATTGAAAGTATCTTCTCCCAGTCTGTGTCCTCCTTTTTACTCTCTTAATGGAGTCTTTTCATGAATAAAAGTTCATAATTTTAATGAAGTTCATAAGTCCATAATTTTATCGTTAGTGCTTTTTGTTTCTTCTTTAAGAAATCTTTGCCTACCCAAAGATCAGAAAGATGTTCTCCTGTTTTCTTTTAAAAGTTCTGTGATTTTATCTTTCACAGTTAGATCCCTCTATAATTAATTTTTTTGTGTGAGTATATGGTTATGAAGATGTCAGTTTTCCCCAGAATAATTTATAGACCCAATGCAATACCAACCAAAATCCTACCGGGCTTTTTTTTTTTGGGGGGGGGGGAATTGTCAGTTTGTTAAGTTGTGTTTTTAAAAGACTGTTTATTTCATCCAAATTCTCAAATGTATTGGAGAAAAACAAGTTTATAATGTTGTATTTATACTTTCTAACATGTGTGGAGTCTATAGTGTTGCACTGTTTTTTCCATTCCTCTTACTTTTAATCTGCCGATTTCTTGATTAGTCTTGCTAGAGGTCTATTAAATTTATTAGTCTTTATTGATTTTGTTTTTATTGTGTGTTTTTATTTCACTAATTTCTGCTCTTTTTTTCCTTAGTGTGATTTGCTGTTCTTTTTCTAGCTTCTCAAGTTGATTTAGATCATAGATTTTAAGCCTTTTCTTTTCACTAGTATATGTAATTAATACTTTCAATTTTGCTGTAAGCATGTGCTTTAGCTGTATTCAATGTGTTGATGTTTTGTACCTTTATTAGCATTCAGTTAAAAATATTTTCTAATTTCTGTTGTGATTTTTTTGTCTGACTTAATGGCTATTTGGATGTATATTTCTTAATTTCCAAGCAGTTAAAGATTTTGTAGTTTCTCTCTCTCTCTCTCTCTCTTTCTCTTTCTCTGTTACTAATGTCTAGCTTAATTTCACTATGGTCAGAAAATACGCTGTGAAGATTTCAATTGTTAAAATCTGTTGAGACTTGCTGTATGGCCTAATCTGGTCAATTTTGGTAAATGTTCTATGTGCCCTTGAAAATAATTTGAATTCTTTCATTGCTGGGTGCATTTATATTAATTTGTCAATTATGTCAATTTTGGTAATTGTGTTGTATATATTTTCTCTATCCTTATTTATTTTTATGTCAGCTTGTTCTATTAGCTATTGAAAGAGGTGGGATTGTGAATCACTGTGATTTGAATTTGTCAATTTTTCCTTTTCATTCTGTCAATTTTTGCTTCATACACACGCACCCACCCACACACACATACACACACATACACAGTGTTAGTGGGTGTATACAGATTTAGCATGGTTATCTGTTCCTGGTGATTTGGTTTCTTTACCAGTCCACCATCTTAATCTTAAGTAGTGGTTCTTTCCTAAAGTCTACTCTAATGCTAGTATAGCTACACTAGCAATTTTTAGTGTGTTTGCATGATATATCTTTTTCTATCAACCTTTCTGTGTTCTTATATTTAACATTTGATTTGTAAGCAGTATATAATTTTTTATCCAGTGTGATTATCTTAGTCTTTTAAATTGGAATATTGTCCATTTGTATTTAATGTAACTACATTTGTATTTTTATTTACCATCTTACTATTTGCTTTTTATATGTCCTGCTCATTTTATGTTCCTTTTTTCTCTCCTTGCTTACTTTTTTTTGGTTGAAGTTTTGCAATTTGATTTTTTCCTCTCTAGTAACTTGTTATACACTTGTCAGTTATACATTATTTTACTATTCTTCTGGTGATAACCCTAGCAATTATAATATGCATGCTTGACATATTACAGTCTAGTAAAAATTACTTTTAACTCTTCCCTATTAATACTTCAAACTTAAAATACTTTAATTTTATTTACTGTCATATTCTTTGCATTATTTTTGTCATGAATTTGTATTCTATGTAGTTTTTAAACTTCACAAGATTTTGCTAATATTATTTTGTAGAGTTAATATTTATTTATACATATTTACAAAATTACTCTTTTTGATGCTCTTTATTTCTTCTTGTATTTCTTGTTTCTGCCTGGGGTTATTTTTGTTCTGTTAGAACTCCTTTTTAGGATTTTTTTCAGTGCTTTTCCATTGGCAATGAATTCTCTGTTTTTGTTTGTCCAAAAATGTCTTTATTTTTATTTGAAGGAAAATTTTTTCTGAGTATAGAAATATAAGTATGTGTTACTATACCAGATACCATTTAATAGTCTTACAGATGGGTGCAAATTTTATTGAGCTTCAAGTAATTTTCATAATTTATAATGTTTACATTGAACTTGGTGTTCTAGTCAATATCATGTGATTTTTTCTAACATCCCCCTTCTTTCTAGCATTCTATAATGGAAATAGTCCAAGATTGAGAAAGATGCCTTAATTCAAGAGTCAGTTCTGCCATTTTCTACCTGTGTGACTTTGGTGAAGTCATTTAACTTCCCTGAGCCAATTTTCTTACATATCAAATGGGAAATTATGATATTGGCTCTATTTCACAGGGGAGTTACGAGGTTCTATTGAGATATATGTGAAAATGCTTTGTACAATACCAATCAGTTGGAAATTTTTAGTTTTATTATTATTTACTGGAACAGAAAACTTCTCAGTGTATATATTCATAATTCTTTTACAAATGCACATTCTCATGAGCACCCAAAAATAGTTAAATGATCATATTCATGTATGTATTTATACGTTTATCCTTCCTTGTATTAAAGACAGTGTTAAAATTTACATAAAATATAACTTACACCAGACAATCAAAAACTAATTTCTAAACTTTCAAGCAACTCACATGAAAAGAGAAACCTGGCCAGTTACATAATTCAAAATGATAAAAATAACCCATATTCAGGAGAAGTACACTTATTTCTTAACACTTAGTTCAGGCAGAAATTTCCATTTAATTTTCTTTATGACGTAGAGTTATTTAAAATTTTTTTCTGGTAGAGGTTAACAATTTGCATGGTTAATCCAAATCAGTGTTTGACTGATCTAGAATTTTAATATTCTGTTTCATACTCCCCAAGGGATAAATATACATTTTAATGTGAGCTGCAAGTAGCTGCCTTTCCATCCTACTTGCAAATGGATTATATTCAGAAAACTGATAAAGAATACCAGTTTCCTTTTCAAAATACATGGATACACATTAAAGGGAAGACTAGGCTAATAAATTAAAGATTTATTTTGCATATGTGATATTTAAAAAACTGCCTTAGAAAGACAATGTTTAGCTGCCTTTTATTTTTTCTTTATAGATGTTAATTAAAAATTTTCTTACTACATTGAACAAATATTTACTATCTTTACTATGTGCAGGTTTATTGCTGTTGGTTTGTTTATTCTCCTTTGACAAAAAGTGGTCATTCAGACTTACCTTTATGCTTTATTCTTTATTTTTTTTCCTTTGCCAAACATGTACAATGGAAAAGAACAGTATTTAGCTGCAATTTTTAAACAACTGAAGTGTATATTAGTGCCTTACAGCCAACACCCTACACCTCTGAGGTCTTATATGATGAACAAATTGAAAATAGGACATTTGTTCATTATTTAAATTCTTTAACTTTGTCTTCAGGTCACTGGCATGCATTTTGTATGAGATGTGCTGCATGAATCATGCATTCACTGGCTCCAATTTCTTGTCCATTGTTCTAAAAATTGTTGAGGGAAACACACCTTCTCTTCCTGACAGATATCCTAGAGAACTAAACGCCATCCTGGAAAGGTATGGAAATCAAAATGTCACAGAAACAACTTTAAATTGTACTTGTATTTTAGTTCATTTATTTTTTTTTCTTTTTAAACATTACAGCATGTTGAATAAGAATCCTTCATTGAGACCATCTGCTATAGAAATTTTAAAAATTCCTTACATTGATGAACAGCTACAGGTATTTAAAATGAAAGGGTTACTGGAAACAGGTATTAGCATTTATATACACATTCTGTGACTAGAAGATATGCTGTGGGAATAAGATGCATTAAAAATCAACCAGAAAGGAGGAACAACATTAAAAAGAAGCTGGGAGAGTGAACTCTGATTCTCTGGTGCCACTGGACAGGAGAAGTTAGGATTCTGATTTTCTGCTTAAACTCAGCATCCACCCTTAGAGTTCTTGTTGACAGATCTTGCCTCAATACTATAAATGTATCCCTGCTAGGACAAGAATGTGCTAATAGTAATTATAAAATCTGGGATTTTCATTGAACATTTATTATTCCATTCCTTTATTATATGTCTCAATAATAACTTTTTATAGATTAGGTGAGTTTATTTTGTTTTGCTGTAGATTAGAAAATTTGATGTAGAGGATCTGCCTTAGTTGATAAGAAAGAAGCAAGTGGTCCACTTCTGGAGGTTTTTTGTTTTTGTCTCTTTAACTTCTCAGGCTTTTACAATAAAAACCCCTCAGGCAAGTTTCCTCTAATTTTATAAACAGCTTTAAGAGGAACCACAAAGCAGTCATCCACCTTCAAAAATGCGCATGCCTTTCATCAGTGGGCCAAGTCCTAAATTCGAAGGAAACAAAGATAATGACAGCATGTATTCATTTGTTGAGTGCTGGGCACTGTGCTGACACCAGGGATGCCAAAATGAAAAGATCATATGTGGTTCCTATCCCTTTGAAGCTTGAGGGCTAGTGAAAGAACACAATAACTACGTAAACATAGGCAAATAAATAACTACAACTGATCACAAGCACTAGGAAAAAAGTAAACGGGATGCTGTAAAAATAAGGGAGGAGTAGGGTCTTTGGTGGTCAAAAAAGGAGTAGGTAATGCTTCAACACTAGTGAGCTGATGAGAGGCATCCAGGCCTGCAAACAGCCTAAGAAACAGTGTTCGAATCACAGGGAATAGCTGGTACAAAGGCTCTGATTAGGTCAGGTTCCCTGAAGATAGACTTAAAGGGGATGTGGGGAAAGCAGGGTGGTGTGGGGGGGAATGAAGGGAGGCAAGGGGGGCAGGCTTAAGTTCCCTGGGACTCCCAACTGTCCTTATGTGCAGGCAAAGCAGGCTCCAGTAGCCCGCGGTGGTCCTCTGAAAGAGGCATGGGTGCTGGCTGTTGAGATCAAAAACACACCAAAGGGGTTGTTGAGTGTTCAAAAAAAAAAAAAGGACAAAGGGGACCCAAGGGGATCTGTTGGGACTAGGAGTAGCCAAGTGAGGCACTGGACCTGGGGCAGAATAAGGGAACACCAAAAATTTTAATTAAGATAAATCATAATTTAGTGCAGTATTTCAAAAATCTAAATCAATGTTAAAAATCCCTAGTAATGAAATATCAAAAGTTTAAAGACAGAATCCAACAAGGCCAGGATTTGGTGAAATTGTGCAGGTTCAGGGTTGAATCCTGTCTTTGTTTAAAGTTTCAAAGTTGTATTTTTCAGCTTTGGGGGCATTAATTTTGATTTTTTTTATAATATTGCATTAAAATATTATTTTGATTTACTGAGTTTTTTGATGTCCCCTTTTGTTTTGTGCCTGAGGTGAGTGCCCAACCCTAGTCCTGGCCCTGGGAGTGTAGACATTGTCCATTACAGGATGGGAGGTGAAAAAAGCTTGTGTGTTCTTGGAGCTGAGAGAAGGCCTGCCCATGGCGGGCAACAGGCATGGAGAGAGCCAGCAGAGCAAGTTGAAGTTCGAGGGGGCAGTAGCAGGACCCTGCGGGATCTTCTTGCATAAGCTACCATGTAATTTCACGTAACCCTTTTAGAGGGAAAAATAGTTACTGTGTGCTTTGTTTTCAAACTTCCTGCCATGGTCAGTAATGCCCCAAATCAAAAAAGTCACCTGGTTTTATGCTCTTTCATCCCTGAAGAGGAGTCTTTCAAGTTTGTATGGGTTGTTGTTTTTGTTCAGCACCTGATGTGTAGATATTCAGAAATGACTCTGGAAGACAGGAATGTGAATTGTCGGAAGGAGGCTGCTCATATAATTAATGCCATGTAAGTAATTGCTTTGTTTTTGAAAAGCTCATTCAGTGTAAATGTTAAATGCATTTGTCTTTAAAAATCTATTAGTGCTAAGCTGACTGCGTGGAGGATCCTAGAATTCACTTAAGTCTTGCCAATAAATTAAGGAGCTTCAGTAACTTGGTGTTCCAAAACCCTTTGCCCCAGGTGGTAGCAAATTGAAATTATAAAAATTAATACCAGCGCACAGCTTACAGATCTGCAGGGTGGCTCTGCAGTTGTCTTATAAGTATAAAGAGAAATTAATATCTCGAACATTTAGTAATATTTATGCTAATGAGCCTTCCATAATAAGCATAAATGGCTTTCACATGTTATTTGTGTAATGTGAACTGGCAGAGTATCTATTGAAGAGAGAACATTGTAGAGTCCTGGGAGAATCTAAAATAAGCCAAATTTCACTTTTCTGAAATACATATCCTCTCATATAAGAACTAGAGAAAGTGTGTTTTCTAAAGAACCATAATTATTTCTTGGCCTAACTTCTCTCTCCCCTCCTTCAAAATTTTTGTCCTGTAACTTGCAGGAGCCCAGAATACTAGGTTACTTCAGAGCAGGCAAGTACCACTGTGTAGTCTGTGCACTGCACAACTCCACGGGACACCAATTTTAAAGACCAAACTTATAGTTTTGCTTATATTTTTTAATCTTATAAGGACCTGAAGAAAATGACAGTCCCTCCCCAGAGGTGCGCAAGTCAGTGGGGTGAGAACAGGAGCCCTCAAAAGGCTGATCTTCAAGGCCAAGTAGTACAAATACACTCCTCTAACACCCAGTCCGGTGGTTTCTCAACTGCACCATGTTTGCTTTCCATCCTCACTTTCAAACTGAAGGAACTTGTCCATATTTAGTCTTTGTTTAATGCATGATCTTCCATTAAAATACACTGTATTTCAGGGGGTAAGTTTTTAGGCATGTTCCTAATAACCTAGTTTTCTTGGGTTACTATGTATTCTTTCAAGAAAAGTTGGAATTTCTAATTTTATTTTATTTCATTAACTAGAGATGTGATAGTAGTAGGTGTCTTATTTTTAAAATACTGGACTAATTTTAGCTATCATTGTGAAACAGTTTGCCTGACACTGTTTACAATAAATATGTGCTAGAATCTAATTGTTTGGAGGGTACTTCACATTATGAAATATTGATTTCAATTAGTCTCTGTTATTTTCAAGATCTATGACTATGTTTTAAGGAGATGTATTTGGCCTCACAAAATAAGGGATGTATATTCCTAAAAATTGCACATCTCCTGGAGGCTCTGGTCTGGATGGTGTTCCAGAGAGATGAGAACTGCCTGCAAAAGTCATTACAATTTTCTCATAGTTCCTTAAAGAAGCAGTTGAATGCAAAAGGCGCAGTATTGGGCCCTAACCAAATCACGAATGGAAGCAAATGTCATTGACAATGTGGTTGCAAGCCTTTCAATACACAATTTATGTAAGCATGTTTCTTTTACTGAAGGAAGACGTTCTTTAATAATATTAGCTAACATTTTGGGGGGTAATGACCATATGCTTGGCTGTGTTAGAAGCACTTTCAGAACAACCCTATGAAGCAGGTTCTACTTTTTTTTTTCAGTAGTCATAAAGAGGTTAAGTAACTTGCCCAAGCGCAGTTAGAGTGTAACCTAGGAGCTAGGATTTGAACCCAGACAGTGTTACTAACCTGTGTGATTAACCACTACCACCATACAGCCATAAAAATGTCTACTATATTAAGCCTAGAATATAAGAAATATTCAAAAAAATTTAGCTATTCTAATACTACCATTTTGGAATACTTTTTATGTGCCAGACTGAGAATACGTTATCTCATGTAATACTCACTGTAGCCCCTTCTTTACAGATAGAAAACTGAGGTTCAGAGAGATTCAGTTACTTGCCCAAAACTACAGAGCTAATGAGTGGTGCAGGTGGGATTCAAACCCTGCCTAACTCCAGAGATTGTTTCCCTATCCACATGGTTGAATTACTCTGCCAGTTTGTTCACTCTCTAATGGCCAAGATCCTAATTTGTCTTACATTATAAAAACCAGTCATAGGCAATGAAATGAGCAGAAATTTGGAAAGTGTGTAATTTGCTTTTAAACAAAAATCTTATTGTAAAAATATTGCTGATTAACTACAGTCCTGGTTGGCTCATTACCTACCCAGAGTTTATTAGTTTTTGCCTGGCGTGTCTTGAGATGCTTTTGCTCTCTCAGTGGTGTAATGATACTTCTGTAAAATATTTGTTTAATTTAATTTTTCTGAGTGTGTTTGGGATGGGTTGCATGTGGGGAATCTTTATTATTTATAGGCAAAAAAAGATCCACCTACAGACTCTGCAGGCACTGTCAGAAGTGCAGAAAATGACGCCGAGAGAAAGGATGAGGCTGAGGAAGCTCCAGGCGGCTGATGAGAAAGCCAGGAAGCTGAAGTAAGCTCCTTTCTTTTGGGTACCCTGTGCCCTGGGCTATTTCTCAGGCATCTAAAGGGACTTACTGGTGAAAAGCAAAAACCAAAATAAGAAATCAAGGTACATTTTATTATATACTTACTTGTTTATTTATCTACTCATTCACTCAAAAGATGATTATTGAGGCATAGATTGGATGCCAGGTACCATTAATATCACTCTTGTTTGAAGGGAAAGATTGAATATTAGGCAGCTTTTTAATGATAAAAGTAGAGAGAGTCTCCAAATGACACATCATTGTTACTGACACATTCTGTACATACCCCAGCAAGAGGGTATAAAGGAGACTTCATTGTTTCACGCTTGTTCCTAGGTGCTTGCTGCACCCCCTCTACCAGGAAACCAAGTTGATCTATAGGGAGCAGAGTTTGCTGGTAGGAAATCGTTAGCTTTTGGGAAGAAGGTAGACTGGAAACAGAGCTCTGTTGTGTCAAGTGAAGCCTTTAGAAAAGTCTATGCTCGGGGCAATGCTGCTAGTGGGATGTATCATTAGTAATTAGAGTATTTATACACAAATAGTGGACTCTCAAGTGGAGAAAGGGAACCCCTGTACACTGTACATGGAAACGTAAATTAGTACAGCCATTATGGAAAATGGTATGGAGGTTCCTCAAAAAGTTAAAAATAGGCCTACAATATAATTCAGCAATCCTACTCCTGGGTTTACGTCCAAAGAAAATGAAATCTGTGTGCTGAAGAGATATTTGCACTTCATGTTCATTGCACCACTATTCAGAGTAGCCAAGATATGGAATCAACCTAAGTGTCCATCAATGGATGAACAGATAAGGAAAATGTACATATATGCACAATGGAATATTATTTAGCCTTAAAAAAGAAGGAAATCCCATTATTTGCAACAACATGGATAAACCTGGAGGACATTATACTAAGTGAAATAAGCCAGGCATAGAAAGACAAATACTACATGATCTTACTTATATGTGGAATCTAAAAATGTCAAACTCATGGAAGTGGAGATTAGAATGGTGGTTACCAGGGGCAGGGGGCATGGATGGGGAGATTCTGGTCAAGAGCACAAAATTTCCATCAGACGAGAGGAGTAAATTCTGGAGATCTATTGTACAGCATGGTGACTATAAGTAATAGTAATGTATTTTTGAAAATTGCTAAGAGAGTAGAGCTTAAATATTCTTACACAAAAAAGTGGTAAGTATGTGAATGATGGATATGCTAATTAGCTTGTATAGGTATACATATATTTGATATATGTATACGTATGTCAAAATATCACATCGTACATCATAAATATAAGCAATTTCTGTTTGTTAATTAAACCTTAAGAAGCTTTAAAAAGTAGAATTTCAAAGAGTCCTAGACTCTGAATTTCTCAAAGACTGATTTTTCAGTTGGTGGGTTGTCCAATTTTCTAATTTTCCATCTTTTTCCCTTTGCCAACTTTTTGGTAGCTTCGAAGCCCCAACCAAGAACTAGAGAGACAGAAAAGACTTGAAATGCAAATATGTTTATTTGTGACCTTGAGAATGTATCTGAAAAATGATTTAGAGGTGTCCTTGTACTTAGAATGAATATCATGATGAACTGAGTAATAATCTTTGAGAATATTTTCCCTTAATACTTGCTTTATTTAATAAATGTGGAAGAAGATTTTCATCAAAGTGCATCACAGGCAGTGGTGTGCTGGGTTTGAAGGGGGCTGATGATTTGTAGGCTAATTTCTGTGGTATAAATACTACCACCATGGTCAATTTCAAGCTGCCAATGTGATATCATTTAATGTTCAGTTGAGAAAATAGGTACACAGTCTGTTTTTGGGAACCAATATAAGTTGGTTTCTGCAAACCACTGTAACATTGTGTGTGGGTTTTACTGAGAAAAGATATTTACATAAACTGCTTGAGCCAGTGTATCAACTCACAGTCCCAAATCTGTTTCTAACACCTCAAAATGGCAATATTTCCAAGGGACCAAGGTTCATGTCATTAGTTGAGGGTAAAAGTAAAATTAAAGATCTGATAGGAACAGATTAAAAAGGCAAATTTAGGGCCGGCCCGGTGGTGCACTCGGTAGAGTGCGACGCTTGGGAGTGTGGTGGTGCTCGCTCCCGCCGAGGGTTCGGATCCCATATAGAGACCGGTCCGCTCACTGGTTGAGCGCGGTGCGGGCGCGACACTGAGGGTTGCGATCCCGTTGCCGGTCGTGGTACGGGCGCGACACCGAGGGTTGTGATCCCGTTACCGGTCACGAAAAAAAGACAAAAAGGAAAAATAAATAAATAAATAAATAAAAAGGCAAATTTAATAATTTACATAGAGATTACAAATTATTCAGATTAAAAGTTTTTATACACAAAAGAAAGTCATAGATCTTTCACGACACACCGTTTTTTTTTTTTTATTTAAAGGCAATGGTTTTAAATAAGTTTGATCTTGATTTTATGAATGAATTATATTGGAATTGTTTCTGATTGTTCATTGTTTCTAGAATTCAAGAGGGATCATGTGTTTTACCTCAAAAATGACTCTATAATCAGACAGGTTATAATTTACCCATTTCATAGACAAGAGAATTTGACTGGAAGTATGTTCAGTGACTTTTCAAAAAAAATCGAAGTATAAATTAGCACACAAGTAATCATAAGAACTCAAATCTTCCTTCCAGTTTAGTAGCAGGTCTATTAAACTCAAGTCTCCTGAAGCAGAGGAAACAAAGATAATGTGTTTGTAGAAAAATTCTTTTCCACAATGACTCGAATATAAATTTCTATAAATTCTTTGACATGTAGCTCTGTTTTCTTTGCTAATGAGTTTGTTCATCCTGAAAGCAGTTTTTGAGTTATTAGTATGTGTTAGGCACTGTGCTGGGTGTTGGGACATACACTTCTGTCATCACACTCAGAACTCATAAGGATGAGTACTGTCTTTTCCTTCAGCTGCATTTGAGGATTTATAGGGTTGAATAAGGAGCCAGAGCATTCTCTTATGCTTTAAAGGAAAATCAACTGGCTGCTGCACTGCATACACCTTGATAAGGAAGAGACCTGATGGTCTGGCTTCTTAACAGCCCTGTCTGCCTGTTGAAACAGGGATCACACTTATCTGTATAATAGAGATATGGTTTTAGCAATTTGCAGTTATTTTTCTGTGTTCACTTTAAATTTGCAGAAAGATTGTGGAAGAAAAATATGAAGAAAATAACAAAAGAATGCAAGAATTGAGATCTCGGAACTTTCAGCAGCTGAGTGTTGATATACTCCATGTAAGTACCCTCTGGTTTTAAATTTTACAGAAAACCTTTTCTTGCTTCAGATACTTCAGATTCATGGGGTTGGGTAGGAAAAGGGACAGGATGGGAAACAAAAGCATCCAGACCAACTTTGCCCAATTCCAGGAAGGATTCTAGAATATTGACCGGCAGGTGGTGACAACACTAATTCAAAGCATCTGCACCTAGAGATGGATCAATTGATTCATCCAACAAATATCAAGTGCCTACTGTGTAAAAGATAACTGAATCAGCACTAAATGCATAGTTGATGGGTTGAAATTATTAATTGGCAGAATAAATGTGTGTATATCTAATTTTTAAATTCACCCCTGCTCTTGTTGCTTTACCTCCATAGTCCATTGTTCTTTTTCTTTTTTTAATTCTTGTCTTTTTAATTTTCTGTCTCCCATCCATATCATTGTGCATTGTGTTAATAACCACATTCCCACTTTGAAGAATTACCATATATGTCCAATAATGAACAGGGTTATAGATTCACATGAAATGGACCCCAAATTTGTGTCTTCTGTAATCCAAATCTCTGCATAGCAAATGCCATTTTCTTTAATGGTTGAAAATATCTCCACAGGCCTGGGGGTAGGTTCTGATACTTAAGGTAGTCTTTATGAGATCATATTTGGGCAATAGACATCAACACCAACCTCATAGCTCTTTGGGTAAAAGCAACTCAGGATAGAGTCAAAAATTTTTATGGAGAACTTTTACCGTCTTAAAATCTGCTTGTTCATTCATTGGAGATCCTGCATCTGAGAGAGATTCTTTCCTTTAGCAGGAAGAACCAAGCCTCCTGAGACTGTGAGGACAATCCCCTGAACGCTGAGAATGCTAATTCTGCTGTAGCTTAGTCATCAGAGGGCTCCAAACCCTGGGTCATGCAGGAGCCTGCAGCAATGCTCACTATCAGCCAGGCAGGGGCTAGGCACACTTGTTTTCTGCCCCTCTGCAAGGGGGAGAGCTGCCAGTGATTTTCTTTTCTCAACTATTTAGTGGTTCCAGGTGCTTTAGACTTCCAAAAATCCAAAGTTGGACCAGACAGGGGGACTAGCCCTCTGACCTTAGGAGTCTCCCCCTGTTTATTGGACCAATTCACAGACAATGTGGGGACACTGGTGACATGTGATCAACCACCTAAGATTGGAAATTGAGAAGTACAGACATGGTAATATTTGGTTTTATAAAAACCTAAATGACTTTTTTTTATTCTTCAAGTTACCATATTGCAAATTAAAATGTAGTTTCCAGGATGCTCTTAAATATTAGTATCTGATAATTTACCTAGGTTTTTTGCTTTTCTTCTTTGACCCTTAAGGATGATCGTTTTGTGTTCTTTTTAATTTCTGATATAATTATTGTCAGTGTTATAACTACACTGTATGAGGTCCTGTCCGCCTCCTATAAATCAGTGCCCTTTGGAGGTCCTGAAGTAAGCTTGAGACCATATGGCAGGCAGAATCTCAGGAGATTTTATTGTCCATATGTTATCCCATAGAACATGGCAGCAAGACAAAAAGTCCTGATCTTAGCACCTCAGAAGAAGAAAGAGGCTTCCACAGGATCCTATGAATTTCCAACTCATAACTTCCCCAGTAACTTTCCAATTCTATCCCCCTTCCATCATCAAGGAGTAAAGGGAGCAGGAGGGGAATTGCCCAATGCTGCCCTGGCCAGAGACATTGGTTCATTCCCTGATACTCTAAGATTTAATGCCACCAACATCTTTGGCCCTGAGCTTTCCAGAAGCACATTTCCTGAATTTGTATTAATGGGGGCAGAAAGTGCTCCATGCAGATACATGCCTCTTGAATCAGTTCCACTTGAAGGTGGGTGCTCTTCCTAGCTGGTTCAGGCCTGCAGACAAGGTGGCTCAGCACACCCAGGCTTCTTGCCCTCTTCAATTGCATCAGTCATTTCCCTCTGGCCCATTGTTAGCATCAAACCTTCTCTCTTTCAAATGCTGTTTCACCATCAAGAAAATCTTCTTTGCTGTCTTGTGTCCATAATCAACTTGCTCTCCTTCAAATTATTGTGGCTTATAGCAATGCTTCTCAAACTTCGAAATGCACCAGAATCACCTGTGGGTGGATTTTGTTAAAATGCAGATTCTAACTTGGATGGTCCAAGGTGGAGTCTAGGATGTTGCATTGCTAACAAGCTCCCTGCTAATTCCAATGCTGCTGATCCAGGACCATATAATGGACAGAAGGTGGGGGCTTCAGAAAGTGGAGTTTGCTGCTAGATGAAGGAAGACCTGGAAAAACCACCTATGAACAGACTTTCTTATAATTTCTTTAGGAAAAACATTTAAGAGGAACAGAAGAAAAGGAAGAGCAACCTAAGGCAAGACTTTCTTGTTGGACCCAGGAGGAGGATAAGGAGAGGCAGCCAGGCGGGGAAGAGGCAAGTTTAATCATATTCAGACCCAACAGTCAGGCAGTTAAACATGTTCGGAGAACAAAGGAGAGAGAAAGCGGGAAGTGGAACACTTTGCAGAGGGGCCTGAAGGGTTTTAAACATCTCAGGGAAAGGCACCATTGAGCTGAAAAGGAAGGAATAAAATATAGGAAAAATTGGATTTATCAAATGCAAGAGGCTAATGAAAAATGTGATAAAGAAGGAGAAGAGGAAAGTGCTCCTGTCTCTGAGTGCTTACTTCCCCTTGCCCATGCACATGTTTATGGTTTAATTCCTTTCTAATCTCATTGGGGCTTTGCTCTCTATTCCTTCTTCTTTCTTTCTCTCTTGCCTAACTGAAGCAAACACTTTATATTTCAAAAGCAGTTGAAGGAGAAAATCAGAGTTTGGGGAGAGGATGGGTTTGCTATGTCACCTCTTAAACATGTTATAAAAATTCTTTGAGGCATTTAGGAGAGTGGCTTGCTTTGTTTTCAGACTCAAATCAACAGGGTCTTTTATTTTGGCAGGCATTTTCTGCTTGACTAAATTTGGGCTTTGAAATCTTGAAGCACAGTTGAGTCACGTTAGGCACCATTTCTTTAAGGGATGGTAGCTTAACGACTATATACACCTGCCTTGGGCTGAGTGTCTCCCCAAAACTTAATCCCCACTGTAACTGTTAAGGGTGGTAATTGAAAGGTGGGGCCTTGAAGAGGTGATTGTGTTGTAGGACCCTGCAGTAGTGAATGGATTAATAATGGTGGTCAGGGGCATGGTTCTGAGGGCTTTAAAATGAGAGTGCATGGGAGGTTAGTCCGTCTCTGCTCCACCATTTTTCTGCCTTGTGAGACCTCTGGGTCACCGTCACTACCACCAAGACCCTCACCAGATGTAGTCCCTGGACTTTGGATTTCCTAGCCTCTGAAGCTGTAAGCAGTAAATTTCATTTTCTTATAAATCACCCAGTTCCAGGTAGTTTGTTATGAGCAACAGAAATGGACGTGATACACAAGACAGGCCTTGTCTTTTATCCTGTAGCACATACAGTTGTGATGGTGCTAAAATTGGGTTTCTGTGAAAAGTGTATAGCAGATCAGGTCTCCACACATGCATGGAGTGGTGATGGGGATCAAAGTTCAGATCAAGTCCTTCTCTTTCTAAGAGAAGCAATTATAACAATTCTGTCTGTTCTCTTCAAAGAGAACCTCAGCAAATCAAAGGCAATTGAGAGTCCAAATACTTATTTTCAAATAATTTCTGAAGTACATGTAAAGACATTTCATGCAGTCTCTATTCTTTGTTCTCAAAGTTCTCTGTGTGCTATCAGTGATCCTTTGAAATTTTGAACCAATTTCACCTCCTGAAACAATTATTATACAGTACAGTAAACGGACTTTTTAAAAACACTTCATGACAGTATTCTCACAAATGCCACACCACAGTGTGGCATGGCTTCATTTTACTTATTCATTTAAGATTAATTTCAACTTTCCTTTTAATTTCCTTTTTAATAAGAAGACACTCGGAGTAGTTCCCCATGAAAGTCATTTAGCAAGGAAAATAGGTCTGTTCAGCATCAGCTCTAGGTTGCATACACACACACACAGACCTGGGAAAAAAAGGCAGAATTATTTATTGAAATACCAATTGACTTGGGAAATTTACCTTTTAATTTTTTGGAGTGTGTATTAGTCCATTTCTATTGCTTTTAACAGAATACCTGAAACTGGGTAATTTATAAAGAAAAGAGGTTTATTTGGCTCATGATTCTGGGACAGCTGCATCTGGTGTGGGCCTCAGGTTGCTTCTCTCATGGCAGAAAGTGGCAGGCAGCTGGTAGGTACAAGCAGATCATGTGGCAAGAGAGGAACTGAGAGAGAGAGAGAGAGAGAGAGAGAGAGAGAGAGAGAGAGAGAGAGAGACCAGGGGTGCTTAAACAACCATCTGTTGTGGGAACTAATATAATGAGAACTCACTCACTACCTGCCCCCCGACCCTGACTCCCAGGCATAATCTATTCACAAGGGATCTGCCCCCCATGACCCAAATCACTCCCAACATTGCCAAGTTGGGGATCAGATTTCAACATGAGCTTTGGGGGGGATCACATATCCAAACTATATCAGAGTGTGAATTCTTTCATCATGTGGCCTTTTAGATCTTTTTCTTTTGGGAAATTGGAATTCATAGAATCACAGAACTTTTAAAACTAGAAGAGAACTTGGAAGTTATTCAAGTCAACACCTTTAATTTTGAGATGAGGAAACTGAGCAGGTCTGGAGTGGGATGAGGTAAGTGGGATACCCTGGGTGCAAAATTGACGGAGGAACTCTCTCTTAGCTGCTGATAGAGCCTGCACTTGCATGAGCCTGAAAGGGGGTGCCTGCAACTTTGCACCCTGGGCATCCCTTTTGACTCACCTAGTAATGACCCAGGCTCAGCTGTCTCTTTGATTCAGGGCTGTTTCTCTTATTCCAAGTTACCTTCCTGAAGTTTTAAAATGTTATCATATTTAAGGGAGAAGTTTAGGTAGATTTTTGTTTCCAAATACTCTTCTAAACAAGAATATTGTTTCATTTGTGGTAGTGCTAGTTCCTTCTATCAGCTTCTCATAAATTGTTAATTACCTTCCACAAGGAATTTGATGAACCGACTTCAGAGAACCTGCCTGAGTCTCAGCCTATTCCTTCCCGGGACCTCAGTGAACTTGAATCAAGTGTAGAGGACATCATAACTGACCTTGGACATCATGGTATGTGTTTGCATCAGTTTCAGAAGGGTCCTCTCAGCTGATACATGAGTTGTGTGGCTGGCTCTGCGGCTTTGCTGGCCTCTGAGAGAAGTCCTGGATGTGTGTGACCACCTGCCATCAGTTATTACAGGGAGACTCAAGCTGTTGTCCTCCTTACCTCTCATTTTGTCTTTTGTCATAGAGTTTTCAGTATGGTAGACAGTGTAATGATTTACTGACCAAACTGGAAATGGTCAGATCTATTCCTTTGACCATCTTGTTCATGTTGCAAGGAAATACTACTTAGGTCTCTATAATAAGCTGTAAGACAAAACAACAACAACAAACACGTAGTAGTTTTAGGTGGGCCGGATACCTTGTAAAATACTTTAAACATTTTCCTTATTTTTTTTCTCTGTAAATTTATATTTTCTAAATGCTATACTTTCTGAAATATTAAATTGAAAAGGGAAATTTAGAACTGTGAAAATACAACCTTTGGGTTTGACAGTTCATTGGAGTGGTGGGCAACTACAAGATGATTAGTGATCACATAGCTTAATCATGAAATTTACAGCATTAGACTTTAATTTGTTGATGATCTCTGAAGTGGTTAATTATTTTCCCGTGCTCTTCGCCTTTTGGAAGATCTGACTCCAAACTTTCCCAGAGGAAGTTTTTATTTGTTTATTTATAGCATGTAAATGTAAAATAAAATTACACAGTCATTTTTTTTTAAGCTCATACACCAAATGTTTAATCAATCTTTGATGTTGAATTAGAAAATTTCCTGTGGGATATGAGGAGTTAGTTGCAGGGTAAGAAGGCAGGGTAAGACTTACTATTTACATTTGATATGCATTTAGTTGACTATAGCTGGGTTAATCTAGCCAAAGCCGTGAGTAACCACTACAATCAAATGAGAAAGTACAACTGGAATGTTAAAGAAATTATCCCTATTTAATTCTTTATATGTAGTCTGATGATTTCTTGCACATTAATTTTTGCCAGGCACTTCCTTGCACTCTGACATTATTTTCAGCAATTCACACCTGAGTTTCAGAACAACATTTCTTTCAAAGCTGGAATAGCCTGAGATTCATGACCCAGAGCATGACTCCTTAACCCAAGTGTTCGGATGTAGAGGCTGCAGTGGAGTAGGCCTCGGATGCCTGCCTGCCCATAGCCTGACCAGCTGTCACCTCTTAATTTCCCTTTCAGCCACTCCTTGACAAGTCCTGAGCCCCTTCCCATGAGCTTAGAGAAAGCTCTGACCTCAAGGTACTTTGCTTGACTGGAGCAACTCCATATGTCCTTTTCAGTTGTGGGCTACTCTATGGCTTATGATGTCATTGCTTCCTTTTAAATGTCCAAACAGAAATAAGGTGATTTGAACTCTGTTAAACTTGATATATTTTTCTTGTTTTAATTTTTTTTAAAAAAAACCTCTACCGACTCAGCAATTCTATATAGTTACCTAAGAGAACCAAAAACTTATCTACAAGATCTGTATACAAATGTTCCTAGCAATTTTATTTATAAGTACTAAAAATAAGGAACAAGTCAAGTGTTGATCAACAGGTGAATGAATAAACAAACTTGTAGTTTGTCTATGCAATGTACACTACTTGTCAATGAAAAGAACAAACTACCAATACACAGAACAGTATGGATGGATGCAAAAATGTTATGCTACACGAAAGAAGCCTCAAACAAAAGAGTGCATGCTGAATGATTCCATTTCTATGGCATTCTAGAATCAGTAGTACTTATCTATAGTGATAGAAATGATCTATAATAATGTAATGGTTGCCTGGAGGGTGGTGGTGGGAACTGACTCCAAAATGGCACAGGGAATCTTCTGTGGTGATAGAAAAGTTTGATATCTTGATTGTGGCGATGGTTACCTAGATGTGTGTATTTGTCAAAATTCATTGAACTCTACACTTTAAATGAGTACATTTTATTGTCTAAATTATATCTCAGTAAAGCTGATAAATAAAAAAAAAATTAAGATATCCAGAAAGAAAGATCACATCATGAGTAATGCTCATCTATCTTTGTTTTAGCTAATGAATGGCTGAGAGAGATGTGGGGGAAGTCATGGAGTTGGAAAGCACCTGGGAAGTTCTCTAGCTATCACTTGGGACATAAAGCCCTTAGTCTAGAATATGATCATATGATCATGAGGCTTGGGGTTTTATTCTAATATCAGCTGAACAACTTTATCTTCCACAAAAAGTGTTAACAGAGTTTTGGGGTCTTCTCGCAGGAGGAAAATTGGGTATTTAGAGTTGAGGGGCTAGGATCCTTTTGATCCTCTCTTTCTGGTCTTTATAGTTGGAGGGCTCACATTTGAGTGGCAGGGAATCGTACCAGCAGGTCTAAAAGGACCTGGTGCCTGCCAAAGCAGCCAAGCGTCATAGAACAAAAGGTGATAGCCCAGACTCCCAAATCTAGCCCAAGATGGAGAAGCAGGGGGAACTATCTGGCTCTTAAGTCCTCAGAAAAGAAGACCAAATGCTGGGGTCACTTTCACATTCCTAGTCTCTCATCACTTTCAGAGCTTTAGATGTCTTCAAGACTTTATTTATAAACACAAATTGATCATGGTTTTATTTCATATTTGTCACATATTCCACTGAGTTACTTTTGTTTCACGATAGTGTTTCCACCTGACTGTAATATTTAGTCCCAGAAATAAAGACCCCTGCAGCCACTCACTAATTTTCTGAGTTCTAGAGGATAATTAGAATGAGTCTAATATTGAATAAAGATGGGCTGATTCTCCTCCCTGAGGCATATTTAATAATTTATAGTGTTCCTTCTGCACGACAAGTCTCTGACTGAAATGTAAAAGATTATGTGCAATTTGAAATATTTAAATGGATACAGCCTAACACCTGCCCAACCATCCACTTTGCTTTGGTGTCCTAAGCAAGCATAATAGAAATAGGGCAACAATTGGTTCCCACAACATCAGGTATTCATAGGGAAAATCAGCACCCATGGACCTCTCAGAATAAGTTTCTTATCTAGGGAGGCTGTATTGATCCCATGGTTCATTCCTTAGCTAAATATAAATTATACAACAGTTATTAAGCAAAGGGCCATACTGGTAGGGCAGAGAGCATTCTTAAGTGGCCTTGCTTGGCCCATCATGGTTCACGTTTGAAATGAATCAGTTAAGCAGAAAATTAAATAAGAATCAGTCATGGCTTTAAGTTAGGATAGAACACAAATATAATGAAGTAAAATCTTATGTAAATCTTATATAATGTGTTTCAGACTGTGCTTTGGATATTCTGTGGTATCGTTTCCCTTGATTGATTAATTTATTTTCCATATATGCAAGTTTCACAGTTGTGCTCAGGGGTCATGAGCTCATCACCTGGAGAACATTGTTATGATACCCAAAGGAAGCTAAGCTGCCATATGACTCAGGAAAGAGTCCAGATCTGCATCTGAGTCGTGACTTTCCCATGTGCTAGTGCTGTGATTTTTGAGCAAGACAATTTCTCTGATCTGCAGTTTTTAAAATTTATTTTTTCATCAATAAAATGTAGTTAGTAACACCAACCTTGGACATTTTTTTTTTTTTTTTGTCCTTTTTGAGACCGGCTGCACCACGCTCAGCCAGTGAGCGCTGTGAGCGCACCGGTCATCCCTATATAGGATCCGAACCCGTGGCGGGAGCGCTGCTCGGCCTCCAACCTTGGACTTTTACTGTTAGCATTAAGTGAGCGAGCACACACTACATATCTGTTATTGTATCTGGCTCAATCAGTGATAGGAGCTATTATTATCAAGCCAGACAGAATGGTTAGATGGTGCTTATCACCTCTTCTCTGGTGCTTATCACCTCTTCTCTACCTGCTGGAATCCAATCCATCTTTTCAGACCTAGCTCAAAGACTTCCTCTTTGATTTGACCAGTTCTGTCTTCCACCAGAACTCCTTGACTATTCTCAATGATTGTTTTCTCCTTTCTTCGAACCTACCCTATGCTACCTTACGGTACCATGATTGTGAGCCTGATTTATGCCCTAACCTGGGTTGTAAAACTGGCATATCTTTGTTAACAAGCCTTTTGAAAATCATTTTTTAAAAGCAATACAGTAAGTGGTTATGTTGCAAAGATATAGATACAGAATAAGCAATATGAAAAAATCCTGTCCAAATCTCACTGAAAGAGAACTTGCACTTTAAGATTACCCTGGTTGATTGTTTCCTTCCAAATTCAGGTGTTGCCAGTGTGATCGTATTAAGAGATTGGGCCATTGAGAGGTGATTAAGTCGTGAGGGCTCCTCCCTCACAAATAGGATTAGGTGTCCTTGTTAAAGGGTTTGAAGGAGGAAGGTTGTCCCTCTTGCCCTTCCAACTTCCACCATGTGAGAGGACACAGCATTTCTCCTCTCCGGAAGATGCAGCAACAGGCACTGTCTTGGAAACAGAGAGCAGCCCTCACCAGACGACTGAACCTGCCAGTGCCTTGATCTTGGACTTCCCAGCCTCTGGAACTGTGAGAAATAAATTTCTGTTCTTTGTAAATAACCCAGTCTGTGGCACTTTGTTATAGCAGCACAAATGGACAAAAACAAAAACAGAAACAGTTTTTTATGCAGATTCAAAGAGAGGTGTATCTCAAACATTTTGGCTGGAAGTGCTCTGGGAGGTTGAATTGCTGAACTCAAAGTAGTCGGAGTCATGACAAAGATACTTATGTCTGTATGTGAGGAGTTTGAACAATTATGTTTCATGATACTTAGAGTGGAGAAAAAGCAGTATCTCGAAATAACATTATTTTATATAGTATAAGAATATAAGATGCTTCTGGTCAGGAATATGTCAAATATTAGACATATTCCATATTTCAGTCTAAAATACACATTTTGCATATTTTAACATCTCTGAAATTGAGCTGCATCTTACAATAGATGGCATATCTTAATTTAATGGCAGCGTTTTTCTTAGTGATACATAATGTAATGATGCACCTTAAAATTGATGGTGTTTTTGATTCATTAAAGTATAGTATGGTATTTCTCAGGCTAGGCTAGACTTGCTGCTGTAACAAATAAACCTGTCAACTTGAGTAACAAGGCATTATGTTTCATTCCCATGACGTCCTATGTGTGTCAGGAATCTCTCTAGAGTAGCTTTTCTCTGTGCAGTGACTAGGGATCTAGATTTCTCCTATTTTTTATGTGCTACCAT